CCCCCCCCCCCCCCCCTTCCGATCATGATCAAATCATATGTTGGGCGATACAAACTGCGACCTTTTCTCAGCCTCACCCTCACTCTCACCCGCCCGCAGTGTTCGATGACGACGGCAATGGATCGATCGACACCAACGAGCTCCGTCAGGTGATGGTCAACATGGAGATGGATGTGGATGAGAAGCAGCTGCAGGAGATCATTGCCGAGGTGGACGAGGACAACTCGGGGACGATCGAGTTTGCCGAGTTTATGGTGCTGATGAAGAACGCCAAGACGTCCGGGTCGAAGATGGCTGCGGTGGTGGAGAAGGCCGGAGACATGTACAAGGTGCAGGGTGCAACCGACTCGTCGGCACACTCGTTCTCGGAGGAGGAGAAGACCTCGTTCTCTGACTACATCAACATGGCGCTGGCGCACGACTCGGACCTCGCGCACCTGCTCCCGATCGACGCGGCGTCGATGGACCTGTTCGAGGTGGTCAAGGATGGCATTTTGCTGTGCAAGCTGATCAACGAGGCCGTGCCCGGGACGATTGACGAGCGCGCCATCAACAAGAAGCCCAAGAACGCGTTCTCGCGGGCAGAAAACCTCAACATGGCGGTGGCGTCTGCGGCAGCCATCGGCGTCAACGTGGTCAACCTCGGGCAGGACGACCTGACCTCGGGCAAGCACCACATTGTGCTCGGTCTCATCTGGCAGCTCATCCGGATTGGGCTCATGCGCGCGATTAACCTCGAGGCGCACCCCGAGCTGTACCGGCTGCTCGAGGAGGGCGAGTCGATCGAGGACCTCATGCGGCTGCCTGCCGACCAGATTCTTCTTCGGTGGCTCAACTACCATCTGGCGGCTGCCGGCTCGCCGCGTCGGGCGACCAACTTTGGCAAGGACCTGTCTGACTCGGAGATCCTGACTACGGTGCTTGCGCAGGTCGGCCCGCCGTGTGACATGTCGCCGATGAACGAGAGTGACAAGCTCCGCCGCGCCGACGCCATGCTTGCCGAGGCCGACAAGATCGAGTGCCGCAAGTTTGTGACGCCCAACGACGTGACGTCGGGCAACTCGAAGCTCAACCTGCTGTTTGTGGCGAACCTGTTCAACACTCACCCCGGCCTCGCCGAGCTCACCGAGGAGGAGGCGCAGGAGATCGACATGGACTTTGACCTCGAGGGTGACCGCGAGGCTCGCGTCTTTGCGCTCTACCTCTCCTCGCTTGGCGTCCCTGTCACTAACCTGTACGAGGACCTTCGCGACGGCCTCGCCCTGCTCAAGGCCTTTGATGCCGTCGAGCCAGGCATCGTCAACTGGAAGAAGGTGGCCACCAAGGTGCCCATCCGCCGCTTCTCGGCCATCGCCAACTGCAACTACGCTGTTGTTCTCGGCAAGTCGCTTCACTTTTCTCTTGTCGGCGTCTCGGGCGACAACATCAACGAGGGCGACCGCACCCGCACCCTCGCCGTCGTCTGGCAGCTCTGCCGCTTCCACCTGCTCAAGGTTCTCCGTGAGCTCGGCGGCGGCGCCAAGATCGAGGACGCCGACATGATCAAGTGGGCCAACGATACCGTCGGCGGCGTCTCGACCATGCGCGACTTCCGCGACAAGTCGCTCTCCAACGCCGTCTTCTTCCTCGACCTCATCAACGCCATCAAGCCCGGCATCGTCGAGGCCGAGTACGTCATCCGCGACGCCTCGTCCGAGGAGGACAAGACCAACAATGCACGCTACGCCATCGCCCTTGCCCGTAAGCTCGGTGCCCTCATCTTCCTCCTTCCCGAGGACGTCGTCGAGGTCCGCCCCAAGCTCATCCTCACCCTCGTCGGTACTCTCATGCAGGTTGCCAAGCGCGGCTCTGCCGGCCCGTCGGCCTAACTGGTCGGCTTCACCCATCGTCGCCCCTCCTCCCCTGTCCTGCCGGCTTTGCTCTGACTGGCACCTGGACCTATCATCGTGGTAAAACCAACCAACCGTCCCACTGTTCGCTCGCCACTGGTTTGCATTGCAAGCCGACAGCCTGCCTGGCGCTGTCACCGCCGTACCAGCAACAGCCCACCAACCACCCCACTCCCCCCGCCGCCACCATGGCCATCAAAGACGCATCCACCTCCCGCCTCACCGCTTATGTGGCAGTGTGTGTGGCAGCCGGCCTGGCGTCAGTCGTGGCGTGCCTGGCTGTCCTTCTCCTCCGTGGCCGGCGTCTGCTCTCTTCGCCGCCGCGACGTGCGCTCGGTGCCCTGTTCGCGTGTGATCTGGCGGCTGCTCTTGGCCTGGTTGTTGCTGGGTGTATGTGGCTGACTCCCTCGCTCCGCTACGACTCAGCCTGCTACGTCCTCGGTGCATGGGTCTACGGCTGGTATCTGGCGAGTTTTGTATGGACGGGTGCCTTTGCCCTCGAGATGTATTGCCTCCTCTCGGTCCGCCCACAGGCATCGGCTGCCGCCCGTCGCTTTGTCATCGCCTGCCTGGTCTCGGTCACTGTTCCTGGCGGTCTGCTGGCGCTGGTCTGCATCCGCGCCGCGAACCAGCCGCCCGGCGCCGAAGTGCGCATCCATCACGGCGATCCGGACTCGTCGTGGTGCATGTGGGATCCACAGTCGTACTCGCTTGTCGAGATGCTCACCTTTTACGTCCCGCTCGCGCTGGCACTTGTTTGTGTCACGTGCCTCTACATCGCCATCAACCGTCGGCTCCGCTCAGCCATTGCCTCGTCTGGCATCGTGACCGACAAGGAGCGTGCCATGTCCAAGTCGGTCCGCACCTCATCGCTGCTCTACATCGGCATCTTTGTCCTCTGCTGGATGTTCTCGCTCGCGGCGGCAATTCTCAACAACATTGCCTACTTTTCGTCTCGCATCACTGGCAACGACCTCTTCCCGCTCTATCTTGCCATGGGTATCACTGCTCCCTCGCAGGGCTTTTTCAACGCCATCGTTTACGGCTTTGACGACTGCTGTGTAAGCGGAGCTCGGCGCCGCCGGCGCCGCCATGGTCGCGAGGCCGAAGCCCTCCTCTCCACCACCCCCACTGCAGGCTCGCCTTTTGTTGTTGCTCCTCTCTTTCGCTCCTCGGTTCAGGCCAACGACTCGTCGTCACACTTCCGGACACACGTCCCTACGCCGGTGCACTACGGCGCCGGTTCGTCGCCGGGCCTCGCTACCAGCTCGTCGTTTGTGGCTGCATCGGGCGAGTCGTCGCTTGGGCGCATGCGCTGATGATCAGCTACACTGGCGAGTGCATGCCAAGCTTGGTGTTGAAGTCGAGGTACAGCCGCTTCTGCGCCTTGAAGAATGCGGCGCGGACTTTGCGCTTGATGACTTCGTCCCATATGACGACGGCGACGCCCCAGGAAACCAAAAAGGCCCACCAAAGCGGACTGACGCGCTCGAGGAGCGCCGTCTGCCAAACACGGGCTGCCTCGATGAGCACCACTACACTGGCAACCAAGAGCCACGCTGGGTTCCGCCACGGAGCCACGACGCGCATCGAGTGGTAGTGGTGGTGGAAGACGGCCGATTCAACGAGTGCGAGCCAGACAAGAACCGTGACCACCGCGCCTGGTGCAGCGGCGGCTAGCGCGGTCCCGGCTGCAGCAGATGGTCCGACCCGCAAGGCGAGCTCTCGACTGATGGCACGAAGCTCTCGCGCGTGCCACCCGACGGTGTCGTTTTTGCGCGGAAGGAGCTTCATGATGCCCGGCGCCTCGGGCCCGGACATAAAGGCGAGAGAAACCAGTGGGACCACAAACCAGGCGATGTAGAGAACGGCCGCAGCCGAGACCTCGGCGCCAAGGCCAAGGCCGTAGAGGCCGACCACAACAAGCGCGACGAGCAGATGAAGCGCCACCGTGTACATGTAAAACGCCGAGACCAAGTCTTGGACCCGACGCCCCTCGCGGATGAATGGGAGCAGCATCTGGAGCTGAGTATCCTTGGGCGCCTTGAGCGAGCAGGGAAGCGTCGTCAGCGCCCGCGAGACGTCGTCCATGGACGCGTACGCGTGCATGATCGACGGCGCCACCGCCCGCGCCGCGGCGGTCGTCGACTCGCGGTGGCGGAGGCAGCGGAGCGGAAGCGATGGCTCAACCGCCATAGCAATGTCTGACTGCGCAAAAATGGGCGAGTTAAAGTAGTTGAGCGCCGAGCCGAGACAGAAGACCACATCACCATACTCTTGGAAAATCTCCATCATTTGTCGCGATGCTGAAGGCGTGGCCTCAGAAAAGAGCGGTACAAGGAGCGGGACGTTGTCGACGTACTTGATATGGCTTCGCATCTCGGACACACCGCGTGGGAGTCGGGCCTTGATCTCCGACATGCCGCGCGGGTCGTGCTCGACGTTCTCGACGGTCCGCTCCTGCAAGGTGATGCAGGTGTTAAAGTCGGTCTCGAGACCGAGCTTGTTGGCGAACGACTTCGAGATGCGCTCGTTGTCAGGCGAAAAGTAGACGAGCCGGATGCCGGCCGAGTTGAGCTCCTTCACCACGACGTCCATGTTCCGCTTGGGCTGCTCGGCCAGGTTGACGAGGCCGAGGAAAATCTGCCCACGGAGCAGTGTTCGCAGCCGGGCGCCGTACCCGCGCCGCGCTTGGGTCCCCGACGCAAGGACGGCATACGAGCCGGCGCCGCGGCGGGTCGTCGAAGCCGCCCACTCGGCAAAGACAACGTCCGAGACGTCGGCAACGTCGGCGAGCCAGCTCGCGTCCGAGAGAACAGGCTTGTAGGCCATGCCAGTGGTGTGCCATCGGCCCCACTTTTGCGAGGTCTCCAGGATGCGTTCGCGGGCGGAGGGCGTTAGCTCGACAACTTGCGAGCCGTCAAAGGCCCACAGGCAGTGGGCCAGTACAAACTCAGGCGAGCCTTTGGTCATGACTTGCAGCTCGCCGTCGTCGTCAGCAACGACCGAGGCGTTGAGAAACGGCGCGGCCCACGACTTGTTCGTAGTCGAGCACCCGGGCAGCGCGTCGATGGCCTGCTGCGCCTTGGCGAAAAGCATGACCTCGTACTTGCGGGTGTAGACGGCCGGGACGGCATCGGTGAAGCCAATTTGCTGGGCAAGGAGGCACATGCACGCCCGGCCCGACTCGGCCGAGTTGAGCCGCTTCTGGTACGCGGTGAGCCAGCGAAGTCGGTCGTCGACGGTCGATGCGAGCAGCGGCGAGTCACAGAGCGGATTGAGAAGAGCAGCGAGGCCGAGCGGCTTCAGCGAGGTCATGAACGACGGCCAGTCGGCCTCGACAAATCGGAGCTCGTACTGCGCCTGCCGCCCGGTGTGGAGGTGCGATCGCAGCGGTTCTGCAGCTTCGGCCTCCTCCACCGAGCCGCCCGAGCCCACAGCCGGGCCGGCAGCAACAACGACGCCGGACGTGGCCCGGACCGAGACACCGTCGCCGACGTCCAAAACCGCGCCACCCGTCGAGGCCGCGGGCGAGAGCGCGGCAGCCCATGTCTCGGCAAATGTCATTGGGACATCCTCACCCTCGGTGACGACGCCGGCTTGCCCAGCGGATGGCACCTGTGGAGCAAGGGTGAGGACGTGGTGCTCGGCGGTCGGCGCGAGAAAGAAGACCTTGTCGACAAGAAGCGACGGCCGCGAGATGACGCCCGAGCCGTCGACGCAGCAGAGGACCGTTGTGTCGCCGAGCGTGTACAGGAGATTGGTAGTCCGCGCGAGGCCGAGGCCGCGGCCCGAAACATACTTCCAGAATGAAGCCCATAGGAGCGAGAGCGGGAGCAGGGCTCGTTTGCGGGTAAAGAGCATGTCGCGCGAGTGGCGGATGGCAAACTCGTCGTCGAACTCGTCCATCTCGGACGAGCCGAGCTCGTTGAACTGGTCCGACGAGATGTCAAACTCAAGGTCAGACGACTTGAACTCTGACGAGTTGGAGTTGAGCGCAACGTCTTCGGTCGACGACGACGATGATGATGATGACGACGACGACGAGAAGAGCGGCGACGCCGCAAGCGACTCGTTGAGCTGGGTGATTTGCTTGAGCAGGTCAAAAATGAGGTGGAGCCGGGCGTTGCCATAAGCGGTGACCACAAAGACCGGAAGCGATGAGACAACAAGGGCAAGCACGACGTAGACTTGACGAAGGACGAGGATCTCGAGCCAGTCGATGAGCGCGCGCGGTTGTGTGCCCACAATGATCCAGGTAATGTTGGCGGCGGCGGCAAGCGCGACGAGGACAAGTGCAACGTTGTTGTAGTACTTGCGGCCGAGGCGGAGTCGGGTCATGAACGGCGCCTCGCGGCGTGGGACCTTGGGTGGCTCGGCTGTTACAACCTTGCGCTCGGGTGGCGCAAAGGTGAGCGTGCTGAGCATGTCGCCGTCGGGCCCGGCCGAGGTGGCGTCAGCGGCAGTCGATGCCGGGTCGATAGCCTGTGACGCCGACTCGAGGCCGGTCACCATAGGCGCGATGTCGGCGAGCGAGACAACGCCCGAGTCAGGAACAGGCTCGGACGCAAGAACCGAGGCGTCATCAGACGCAGCAGTAGGCGGGCCGGTGGGAAGGTCGGCGATCGGGAGCTCGTCAGGCGTGATGAGCGACGGGAGTGCAGCCGCAAAGAGGCGTGCGCCGCTAGCCACCGACATGGCCGACGCGACGGCGTGGGTCTGGGCGTCGTTAAAGCCGCGCGGGCGGGCAGATCGAGAAGAGAGCGGCGAGAGGACGTCGGAGGAGAACGACGAAGACGACGATAGTGACGAGAGCGACTGTGGAGGCGGGCCATCGGCAGCCTCAAGTGAGAGCGCATCGTCAGCGTCGTCAACGTGGAGCAGATCGGCGACGAGGTCGTCATCGGCCTCTTGCTCCTGCTGCTCCTCGAGTGGTTGACGTGGGTGCAAGCGCGAGTGCGGGCGCGAGTGCGGGCCATCAGCGGCCTCGCGAGCGAGCGCGTCGTGTGGGTGGGTGGCGAGCGCCGAGAGCTCTTCCTGCTGCTCGAACGAGTCACTCGCTGGTGACGGGTGGTCGGGCCCGAGGTTGGCGGCCTCGAGCGCGCGGCGGCGGTGGGCGCGGTCGAGGAAGAATATGTTCGTGTTGGCCGGCATGCAAAGGGCCACGTCGAGAGTCTTGGTGACCGGGGTGGCGGCGAGACGGAAGCGAGCACGACCGCCGAGAGCATGGATGGCCGACTTGTGCTCGTGGCTCGGATCGACGGCGTAGGGGCGAGCCGGTTGATCGGCGGGTGGGTCTGCCACACAGTCGCAGGGCAGGAGATCTTTGAGCGGTTCGCCTTCTGCAAGCTCAAACCCAACCGATCGAGCGTATATGACCGAGGCAGCCGCCGGGGCACGCTGGCCAAGTTCCAGCTCGATGACGTCGCCGGCCACGAGGAGATCAGGCGGGAGTGAGCGCCAAGCGTGGTCACGCAGCGCTGTGATGCGGGTCTTGGACTCTGTGCGCGGGGCATCAATGTGGGCGGCTTCGTCGACGTAGTACCCACGTGAGGCGGCAAGGGCGGCGATCTGGCGCATAACTCTGCAGCGCATCTCGTTGGCTCCGCAAAACTCGTCCCATGCCTCGACTGCGACGTTGACAACAGCGCCAACAAGTACGGTTGCGGTCTCGAGGCCAAGCTGCATGCCACGGCCCCCAAGCGCCCAGATTGCGGCCATGATGACGGCCAAGGCTGCGAGGGCGATGTTCATGGGCGAGGCGGCAGCAGCAGCGAGCGCAGCGGCGAGTGTGATCGGTGGCGGCAACATCCGCTCCATGGTCCCGACTAGCTGCGCGTTTGCAGTCAGCGTCCGCGGCGAACGCTGCGGTAGGCCGATGGCCGCGTGACAATGCGGTGCATCGGTCATCGAGTTGCTTTGCAGCGGCGGCAGAGTGGGCGGCGGGTCGGGCAAGTTGGTAGCCGACGGCAGCTGATGGGCAGTAGCGGCCAGGATGTCGGACGCGGCCTGCAGGACCGATCGCGGAGTGCGGGGCACAGACGCCACTTTGGGCGAGTTAGCTCGGACTGGCGACGATGCGTCTGGAATGACAGCAGCGACGATGGGTGCCACCGTGGTCGACGCCGACCGTGAGAGAGTGGCGCCTGGGGGCGGTGGGGTGGGGGCGATGGCAAGGGAAAGGGAGGAGGAAGAGGAGGAGGAAGAAGAAGAGGAGGTGGGGGCGGTGGGGGGCGGTGGGGGCGGTGGGTAGCTCCTCCATGGCCCGGGGTTTGGCGGGGAGTAGAGTGGAGTGGGGTGCGGTCGGCTGGGGTGAGGTGCTGCGGTGGCGACGAGTGTGAGTCTGAGGAGGGTAGGAAAGGGGGGGGGGGGGGGGGATGATGAAGAGGTGTGGTATGTATTAGGAGTGCCAGACTGTGGTTGTGAGAAGGATCGGATCAGAGGGGCGCGTAGTGACGGCGGGCAAGGCGGGCAGGGCAAGGCGGGCAGGGCGGGGCTGCAGCCTGATGGCGAGGAGGAGGGGGGGGTGGGGGGTGGACAGGTTATGTCGAGGGCGACTGCTTGGCGTGCTTGTAGTAGGTCTTGTTGTAGCGCGGATTGGTTCGCATCAGGTGCTGGGCGAGCCAGTTGATGGGGTTGATGGGCTTGACGTTGGCCACGCCGGCGTTGCGCTTCTGGGCATTGGAGGCGAGTGCCTTGAGGAGGGCCTCGACGGCAGCATCGAGAACCGGGTAGACGGACTCTTCAAGAAACTCGTCGTCGGTGTTTGTGCGCGGATTAACGGCGACGACAGGCATGATGTCCTTTTCGCGGAGGACGTTGATGGAAGGTCGGCGGGCGAGGCGGGACGAGAGCAGCTGCAGTCGCTGCCTTTTCTCCAACCGCTTCTGGGCCTCCAGATGCGAGGGCGAGAGCTTGTTGGCCGGCATGATGTTGGACTCTTGCAGCTTTTCCATGGACGGGCGCGTCCGAAACGTCCGCTTGAGGCGAGCCTGAATGCGTGATCGCACCAGAGCCTTCTGCCGCTCGAGCACTGCTGCCGACACGTCACCACGCTGCAGAATGTTTCTCGAGATAAGATCATCTCGTTTCATTCGGCGCACGAGTTTGTGTTCCAGCGCTGCGTGATGATGGTGACGGTGATGTGAGTGTGAGACGTCGCGCTCTGCCACACCGATCGCTTCTTCCTCTCTTTCTCTCCCTCTTCCCGCCCCCCTACCTGCCCTGCTCGTCTTGAAGCATTCCTTCCCATGACGTACCTTGTGAGATGGACGATAGCGCCACCGGATGGCCACCATCGTGTTCCTCCGACTTTCCGCTGGACCCACTGCCCGAGTCCGAGTACGAGTACGAGCCGCCCGAGCCCGAGCCCGAGCCCGAGCCCGAGCCTCCCGAGCCTCCCGAGCCCGACCTAGACGAGCCTACATCCAAAGACCAAGACCAAAGAGGAGTGAGTGGCAATGTGTAGTATGGGTGTGGGTGTGTATCACGTGGGGAAATGGGTGTGGATGCTGGAGGCGCTTGTAGGGGAGGTGCCCTCGGCCGGTGGTGGGCAACGGACGCTCGCTGGCCCTGCCACCGCCGCCGCCATGGTCACCGCCATGGCCACCACCACTGCCACCACCACCGCCACCACAACTGTCACCGCACTCAACGCACAGCGGGACATGGGAACTGTAGAAACATACCGCCTGAGCACATGCTGTCGGAGCTCGAGGTCCGTGACATGGTCGTCGTCCTGCCGCGAGCACCAGTGGCTCGGCGAGAGGTGTGCGCCGTCGATCCGCCTACTCTCGATCCATCGGCTCTCGATGACCGGTCCGCCTACTCTCGATCCATCGGCTCTCGATGACCGGCCCACCTACTCTCGATCCATCGGCCGTCGATGACCGGTCCGCCTACTCTCGATCCATCGGCTCTCGATGACCGGCCCGCCTACTCTCGATCCATCGGCTCTCGATGACCGGCCCGCCTACTCTCGATCCATCGGCCGTCGATGACCGGTCCGCCTACTCTCGATCCATCGGCTCTCGATGACCGGCCCACCTACTCTCGATCCATCGGCCGTCGATGACCGGTCCGCCTACTCTCGATCCATCGGCTCTCGATGACCGGCCCGCCTACTCTCGATCCATCGGCCGTCGATGACCGGTCCGCCTACTCTCGATCCATCGACTCTCGATGACCAGCCCGCCTACTCTCGATCCATCGACTCTCGATGACCGGTCCGCCTACTCTCGATCCATCGGCTCTCGATGACCGGCCCGCCTACTCTCGATCCATCGGCCGTCGATGACCGGCCCGCCTACTCTCGATCCATCGGCTCTCGATGACCGGCCCGCCTACTCTGGATCCATCGGCTCTCGATGACCGGCCCGCCTACTCTCGATCCATCGGCTCTCGATGACCGGCCCGCCTACTCTGGATCCATCGGCTCTCGATGACCAGCCCGCCTACTCTCGATCCATCGGCTCTCGATGACCGGTCCGCCTACTCTCGATCCATCGGCCGTCGATGACGGCATCGGCATCGACCATGCCAAAAGCAGACACAAAGGGTATACGACGGCGCACAAATGGCAGTATCGGCATCGTTCGATGCAGGCCGACGGCAAGCGGCAAGACAGGCGAGCGGAAGCAATTGGGACACACCATGAGCAATAACAGTTTCGGGGGGAGCAAAGCCAACCAAAAGGCGAACCCAATTTGTGCCGCACCCTCTCACACCCGCCACCTACCCACACACCACCTTGACAAGTCTTCTGTGACCACCTCACCTCTCCATACGGTTCCACACCCCAAGTGTTTCACTGACACATATATACATACATACAGCCGTTTACATACTCTGAATCTGGCGAGTGTTGCAGAGTCCGTCCCACACTTACTCTCTCTCTCTTTGGTCTGTCCCTCTCTCTCTCTCTCTCTCTCTCTCTCTCTCTCTCGCACACACACACACACCTGTTGTGGCCCACCATCATCATGTCGGTCGCGTTTGAGGTCGAGTCCATGTTGGCTCTCTTCGGCTCACAGACAGGAAAACGTACGTTGTGGTGAGGATTGTGCGGTCATGGACAGAACTCCGCTGGTACTTGGGCACTCACGTACACACGCACCACTTGCACGGGATACTCACAACCGCAATTACCCTCACACACGCCTGCGCACACACACGCCCTGATGAACATGATCGATGTGGCGCCGAGCGATGATAGTGGTGCATCTGCTGGTTCAGTTTGTCAACAATTCGGACAGATACCTCGCTGATTGCGAGACTAGCATCGCGGTAGATACACCCGAGGCGCTCAAAGCCTTTCGTGCGGCGGCGCATACACTCAAGGGATCAGCTGGGACTGTTAAGGCTACTCGCCTCTATCCGCTTGTTCTGTGTCTGTCGGATGTTGCAAAGCACTCGCCATTCCCTCAGCCGCCGGTTGTGGTGGAGCTCCTCCGCCAAGCCCGCGCCGAGCATCATCGCCTCAAGGCCTACGCTGCCTGCCTGGAAGCTGCATCATCTCCGGACTTTGACGCTTCCAACGAGGCTGCCAAGGCGGCGACGCTGTTGGCCCCGGTTTCTAGTGCTGCTATGGCTCGCCCGAGCAAGACCAAGGCCAAGCTCAACGAGCTCATCACTGTTCTCGAGGGGACCAAGGAGGTCGGTGACGTCATTAATGTCGTCGAACGCATCGGTCGCGAGCTCGACGCTCCGTTCATCACCGTCATTCCCGAGGCCTACCGCTCGATCACGAGCATGGCTATGGAAAAGTCGCGCATGGCCTTTGACACCATGCACCGCGGCTTGCTCGACGAGGCTGCCGCCGCCCTCGAGTACATCGACGCTGGCGGCTTTGGCGTAGGCACGTCGACCGCCCACAGTGCTTCGTCGTCGACCTCGTCGGACTCGCCCTCGTACTCGTACTCGTACTCGTACTCGTCCGACGCGCGGGCCAAGGCCAAAGCCCGCAAAAAGGCAAAGGAAAAGGCCAAGGCCAAGGAGAAGGCCAAGAAAGCGGCAAAGGACAAGGCAAAGGCAAAGGCAAAGGCAGAAGCCAAGAGCAAGGCCAAGAGCAAGGCCAAGAGCAAGGCCAAGAGCAAGGCAAAGTCAAAGGACAAGGCCAGGGCCAAGGACAAGACAAAGAGCAAGGGTCGCGATGCGCCTGATGGAGTCGCTGGCGCCAGTACTGGTACAACTGCTAGTGCTGTCGACTCGGCGGAACTCGACTACGACGAGGTTGTGGCGCGGTTTGGCGGCTCGGCCGAGTTTGCCAACGAACTGCTTGGAGAGTGGATCAAGTCACATGCCAGCGGCATCAGCGGCCTCGCTGAGGCTCTAGCCAGCGACGATGTGGCCGCCATCAAGAGCATCGCGATTGCCATCGAGGGCGAGGTCTCGATGCTCTCAATGCCGGTTCTGGCCAAGGCGGCGCAGACCGTGAGGAATGCGTGCGAGTCAGGCGAGATTGATGCCATCCGCCGGTGCTGCAACGATTTCAATGAGACCTTTACTGCAGTCGCTGCCGCCCTTGCCGCGCGCGGTATCACTCCTTGAGCCGCGTCGGCGGCGCATCGCGATCGCAGGTGCCGTGACCGGTATCCGCCGAGTGCTCGTCGTCATCGTCGTCCAGGTCCGACGTCGACTCGGAGTGCCACCAGGCGTCTGGTTCACCGTCTGCCTTGCCACTGGCACCGCCGTCTGCGTCGCTCATGTGCTCCACGGGCGCATGGTTGTGGCGGCGGATGCGTCGCCGCGGCGCGCTGTGCGATTGGTGCTTGCGCCGATGCCGTCGCCGCCGCCGCCGGTGATGCCGGGTGTGAACCGCGTCGTGGCTCTGCTCGCCGTCAAACACGTCATCGACACTCGTCACTGCCGCCCACTTGGCCCGAAGCGCGGTAAAATCCACAGACCGTGTGTCTTCAGGCCCGAGCGAGATGTTGGCCTTGACGGATTCCTTCCGTCGTCCGCCCGGCGACGCCGATGAGTGCTGCGACCGGAGTCGGGTGATAGACCGCTTCTTGCCGGCCAGTGGCGACGAACGAGTCGGGACATGCTTGGCTGCATTCAACGCGGCCGCGACTGCGCCAGCTTCTGGTAGTGCCTCTGAACCGGCCGTCGAGCTTGCGCCGACATCGTTCGAGGCGTGTGCGGGCGATGCGCCGACCGACGCAGCAGCAGCCGCAAGTGCCGCTTGGGCTCGCTTGGCCGACGCGTCTGCGAGCGAGGTCCGGATGGCCATCGACGACGAGCGATGCTTCAGCTGGCGGAGGCGGATTGGCGACTGCGACGAGAGCGGTGCGGCCGAAAGCGATTTGGGCGTCAGCGGCTCAGGCGGCTCGTCGTCAGAGCCGGCCACCGCCGCCGCAGTCTCGGACGAGTCGAGCACCGAGCGCAGCTCGTAGACTGCGTACGTCGAGTTGAGGTGCGAGGGGAAGAAGAGGTCACTGGCAGCCGGGCAGGTGAACGGGGCCGGCACGTCAAGTAAGTGGATCTCGATGGGTGTGCCGTTGAGCGCCGAGTACACAACGGTAAACGCAGGGAAGGAGACAATGATGAACGGGTACGAGAGTGCAAAGTGCATTGGCGTCGATCGCCAGTGCATGGTGTGCCGGGCGGCGGCGAGGCTTGCCGGCGACGTCCGCAGCGAGGCGTCAACGGCCCACGGCAGAATCTCGCCATGACTCTCGTAGCATACCAGCCAGGCGCCAGGGAGCTCGTAAGCAGCGAGCGGTGGGTGTCCGGATGGCGAGGCGGCGACAGTGTGGAGACCCCAGAGCTGGTGTCGATGAGCACTAGCGCAGCTGCGCCCTCGGGCGCAAGAATGCCGACAAGGATGCCAACCGAGGTGAGCGAAAGGCATGTGATGCGGCCAGGCATCTGGACAGGCTCGATGTGTGGGACAAAGGCAGGGCCCGACTCGAAGCCGCCTGCGTCGTGGGTGAGGACGTGGACTGCGTACCGCGACGCGACAACCAGGACTGGCGCGCCGTCAAGCTCGCCGGCTTCGAAAAAGCCGGGTTGGCGACCGGCACAAAGGCGACGCTTGGCCGGCCGCCACTCAGCAGCGGCTCAAGCGCCACCGCAAACATGGCCTGTTGACCCGATGCCGACGTCGTTGCCGCAAGAAGCGCGTTGGCGGACGCGCACACTGCAATGGACACTAAGCCGGGCATGTTGAGCACAAGCTTGCAGTCTGGATGACCGCGGGTGTTGGAGAAGAGCGCCTGCGGCGTGGCAAGAAACAGCGTCTCGCCGAGGGTGTCCATCGACGTGATGGCGTAGGGAAACGAGTCTAGGAGCGGGTCAATGGAGAAGACCTGTGACGGCTCGACTTTGAGCGCGGCGCGGAGGAGCGGAACCGAGGCGTCCGAGACGGAGGTCCGGCGCGCGCTGGTGGCGTCCGCCTCGGTGCTGCTTAGCCACGGCATGTGCATGAGCGAGAGCCGGATGCTGTCGAGGGCGGCCAGCCAGCTTGTTGACTCGGGTGGCGGCGACTTGGTTGTCAGCTTGGACAGCTTGCGGCGCTTCTTGTCGGCAGTCGGGAGTGCGGCAAGATCGTCGAGGAGCGCGTCAATGAGCATGGCGCGGGTACGCAGCGCGCGCGCCTTGAACTCGGGCGAGCGGAGCGTGGCACGCTGCCCATTGAGGCACTTGGCGAGGATGTGGGTGCGGAGCGCCGAGGCGGGAAGAGGCGTCGGTGGCGTGAGCGGGCCAAAAGCGCGAGTGTCGGCCGCATGGGCAATGCCGACCAAGTAGTGCGGCTCAGACGAAGAAAGCACGGCGCTCGGTGGCACTGGAGAGACAACGACCAGCGTCCGAGTATACTTGGACGCCATGGTGGAGGCCAGGTACGGCGAGGTCATGGGCGCGTCCATAAAGACGATGACAACAATGTCGTTGCCAATGAACCGCTTGCGCTGGATGTGCTGCTCGTCGTTGGCATCCCAGTGAAGGAGGGTCGAGACGTGGAACATGACGTCGTGGTCGGCAAACGAGGTTGTGACAGAGTGGGTGCCCGAGCCGTCGCAAGCCGTGTCAAGCTGAGCCGAGTAGCCATCGTAGCCTTTGAGCCTCACCCGCGAGCCAAGGAGTTCGAGAAAGGCGTCAAAGGCAAGCGAACCATCCTTGTTGCCGAACATCTCCAGTTCGTTGACTTGACCTGGTGCAGCGTAGAGGACGCCGATCTTGAGTGTCTTGGCGGTTTCGGGCTCCTCGAGACGGCGGACGGCGGCGATAAGCCGAGGTGGCGGCTGGGCGTTTGCAGACGGCACCAGGCTCCACAGCCGTGAAACAGCCTTGGGCGATGAAACCGAGGCTGGTGGGAGGATCGCAGGCGCGAGCGCAGTAAGGACAACAGCAAAGTCAAGTCGCGACGATGCGTGGAGCACAAAGTAGTACGCGCGACGCGCAGTCTTGGTGAAGACTGCAAGCCAGTGCTGAATACCAGCATGTGAGGCTTTGGTGAGCGCAAGCGCCGCCACCGCGCCAAGGTCCGGCGCTGTATAGAGAGTATGCGGCATGTCCGAGAGCAGCGCAGTGTACCACGCCGAGCATGCGGGATCGTCCTCGATCCACGGCCCGGCGGCCTCCACTGGGAACGCGGATGCGTCCGAGACCGAGAACGGCTGCTCCACGTGCCAGCCTGGTGCTTCAGCTACTGGCCAGGGTGGTGAGGCGATGGCGGCGGCGCGGGTGGCGGCGCGCGCGTCGAGCGCTGCTGCCAGTGATGGTGACGGCACTTTGGCGTGGCTCGCGTCGGCTATCCGGACCAAAAGCTCCAGAAAGCCTGCTTGCGGTGGCGCCATCGCCAGCCGATGCAGGACGTAGCCGGCGTAGTCGGGCGAGGCGGCATTGAGATCGACGGTCGTCCTGCCGATGACCGAGTCGCGCGCCATCCGGTGTGCAGCATAGAGCTCAAGAGTGACCGACACCTCATCGTCTGAGCAGCTTCCCTGGTTTCCGCTGCGGCTCTCAAGAGGAAGAACAAGCATGGCGTGCCAGGCAGTGTCCAGCGGTGCCGAGTGGGTTGTAGCCGAGACCGGCGGCTCGGCCTCGCCAACACGCTTCCCGGCTACCGCCGCCCGGACATAGGTCCGTGACTTTGCCCGACCAACAAGGGCGTCGTCGGCCTTAGCCACACGCAAGACATACAGACACAAATAGCGAGGGGGAGTAGCAGGAGAGGAAGAGGACATAGCCAGTGGAGCTAGATGGGTACAGGCACCGCCGCCCAAGGCCGATGGATACAGAGCTTTGCAAGCCAGTTCGTTGAGCGCACACTCTCCGCCACCCGCTTGGGACGCATCACCAGGTCCAAGAGCAGCTGTTGCTGTTGCTGATGAGGATGTTGTTGTTGTTGCTGCTGCTGTTGTTGTTGGTACTGCTGCTGCTGTTGTTGTGCCTCTCCCAGAGTTGGTACCAGATTCGGACCGAGGGTGGCACGGCGTGCCTGTGTCCGACCCGTTGCTTCCGCCTCTCTCCATGACGAGGGAATGAGGAGGGAATGCGGAGGACAGGGGGGGGGGGTGAACTGGAGTGTTGCTACCTCTGCTGCTCTGCTGCAGCTTGACCTGTTGTTGGGAGTGGCGGTGGCGACAACACTGCGCTGTTCACTCGTGTTGAGTGTTGCAAGAAAATGGCAACTGGAGTGATGGCGAGCATGACGGTGAACATGATGGTGATGGGCGGTAACGGGGAGGGAATCGGTAGGGGATGCTATGGTATGGAGGAGTTTTGTAAGACTGAACGAGGGCGCGAATGGCGCGGAGGGGGGGGGGGGGGGGGGGGAGGCTGAAGTGCGCGCGGCTTACACGTCGCGGAGGAGTAGTGAAGGAAGCGGGGGTGGGGCAGGAATTGAAGCTGATGTCGGCGATGACGCGGATGAAGACGAGGTTGCCGTCGATGACGTAGCATGTGAGGAGGAGCTAGAGTCGGATGCCAGGCGCGAGGTGGTGGGGGAGGTCGGCGTGATCGGAGAGAAGGGCGAGAGCGGAGAGCACGGCGAGCAGACGGTAAGGCGGGCGCCGGGCGGATCAGTGGGAATGCTGAGCGAGAGGTTAGGAAAGATGCTTGTAGTGGGCGAAACCGAGACCGAGCTGTGTGGCGAGCTTGATCGTGGGCTGATTGACATTGCGGTGGCGGAGACGCCCGAGCCATGCGACGCGAGACCCGCCACGGCATCGGTGTTGAGAAAAACGGCCGAGGCTGACGGCAGACCGACGAGTGTGTCCATGCCCGAGGCAGCCACGTAGGCCTGGCCCGGAACAAAGGCAACGCCTGTCGTGTCTTCGATACAGGACGCGTCGGTGAGCGAGTCGATGTCAATGACCGAGATCTCGATGTCGGACGACTTTCCATGGGCAGCAAACTCAAAGTCGACCTCGCCGGTGTCGCGGTCGCGGATCCACCAAACTTCGTAGACGATGGCAACAACGACAATAAAGAGGGTGGCAAGCAGCGCGGTGATGACCACGGCGTCGCGGAGGTGGCTTGATCCCTGCATGGTGCCGCCCCAGAGGAGAACTACGGCTCCGGCGCTAACGGCTCCATCCAATATGTTGTGGTGCTCTTCAGCGTAAGGGCGATGTCTGTGGATGAGGGCATGCACGATGCTGGCAAGGATGCCGAGACCGATGACGTGGGCTTTGGCGCTCGGCGACCGCAGCGCGCACACGGCGACCACCATGGCAAGCTTCCTTCCGAGCACCACATTCTCGTACCAATACAGATCCGGCCGGTACTTGGCGACGAGGAATGCATACTTGGTGAGAAAGCTGAGATCGTCCAGCTGCTGCTTCTTGCGGCGAAGGAAGACTCCAAGGCCAACTGGGATAATCAACCCGTAGGCGAGGGCGACGATGATGATGAGGGGTAGGGTGGCGTACCACGCCACAGTGTAACAGCGCTGGTGTGGATTGGTTGTCATGACCACGATTCCCCCGCCGACGTCTGTGCAGTCGACATACCGCAGCGCAGAGTACATCAGCGGCATGTAGAGCAAGAGGAGCGTCTGTAGATAGCCGCGCCCGGCGGCGTCGACTAGCTGCCTGTTGGGGGCAAAGAGCGCCCTAGCGTGCGCGCCGACGCCTGCGCGTCCTTGTGCGACGCGGCGATTATGGCGCAGCGCGCTCCCGACCGAGGCACAGCACGTGACAAGGCCAAAGGGAAGAAGGAAGAGCATCGGCAGCGCCATGGTCACGCCCCACTTGAACATCCAAACATCGCCGACGTCGAGCCCGCACTCTGGCGAAGCGAGGTCAAAGTTGAGGTTGACAAGTGAGACGGCGTCAAAGATGGCGGCGGCAACAGGATGCCAACGCAGTCGGATGGTGCCGTAAAGGGCCACGGCTTGTAGCGAGTTGAGCGCAATGACAAACGCGGCGTATCCGTACATGTTTGTCTCGCGTGTGTTGAGCCAGAGGACAACAGTGGCGTAGACAAAGAAGCCAAGGATGAGGAGAGCGGCCAGAGCAGCGTTGGAGCCACGGCAGCGTCGGCACCGCTCTCCAAGCCGGAACCAGCCGCGATCGCACTCGGCGCACAGCCGGCCGGTGTAGCCGACCCGGCAAGCTGTGCCACCGACGCAAGCCTCAGGCAGCGGACATGCCACAAAGAGGCCCGGGCCGTCGTCGCCTTGGCCAAAACCGGCGGCGGCGACCGGATCTGCGCGGCCGCCGAGACAGACCGCGCCGAACGGGCAAGCGACGCATGCTGCGCCACGCCGCTGGCCGCGCGCTCCGAACCAGAAACCCGGACGGCACGTGCAGTTGGTGTAGCTTTGGGATGCTTCGGGCGAGGTTGAGAACGGTGGACAGACACTACACTCGGGAGCGTCGATGGCGTCCGAAAAGGTGCCGGGCGCGCACGCGCTGCAACCTCCGCCGTCGACCGAGTGCTCGCCGGGCACACAGGTGGTGGCGGCAAAGACAACAAATGGTGAGCCGACAATATCCTCGCTCGAGATTTCGACCGATAGGGTGTATGTCCCACCGCGCTCGGCGACGAGGTCAAAGCCGAGGCGCGGACTCTCGCGGTACAAGATTTGGACAGATCTCTCACCGGCGCTGCCCTTGATCCGGATCGAGACGTCCGCGTCTGATGGGAGGCTTGAGACCGCATTGCCGTAGACATCGGCAACAACAACTTCGTACCGACTCGCCACGCCGGTCTCGACGCTGAGGACTGATCCGAGCACGGCGTTGTCGAGCACAGAAGCTGACGCGGCGGCTGGTCCGGGGACAACCTGGACTGTGAGCGGTGCAGCTTCAAGTGTGCGACCGTTGATGCCGAGCGTGTATGTGTACACGTCAGCAACCGTCGGCACCGTGACTGTGGCCTCGTACTCTCCGCTGGCCAGAAAGCTGTGGGAGGCGACACGATCTGTGCCATCGGGCAGGCGTGCTGTGGGCAGGTCGAGTCCGCTGCCTGTCGGGAGATGGAAAGAGTCGCGGACGTGAAAGGCCACCACAAAAGACGATCCCGCGACGAGGACGATCGGGGCCGCGGGGGGCGTGGCGAACGAGTTGCTGATGTTGAACGAGGAGCAGAACGGGGTCGAGGCCGAGACACTCCACTCCGAGTCCCCGCCGCAAATCGAGGTCGAGGGACCGACAAGCGAAAGGCCCCCGGTGCAGACAAAGGAGCATGACTCGCCAAAGATGCCACGGCCCGTGCCATTTGAGCAGGTGATGACAATGTCCGGCGGCGGGACCAGCGGCGGGCAAGAGACATAGGCGCAGACGGCCTCACTTCCAGACCAAGTCCCATCAGAGCAGACGCGCAGAGCCGAGCCTGAAATGAGGTCGATTCCGGGATCGCAGATGACTGTGGCGGTCGAGCCGGTGTAGCCGTAGTTGGAGAACGAGAGCGAGCCGTTGGACGGCGGCGCAAAGAGCGGGCATGCATAGGGCGGCGGTGGCGAGGGCGGTGCCGGTGGCGAGGGCGGCGGCGGCGGCGATGGGATACATTGAACCGCCGGAGGGAGAGCTGACCAGATGCCATCCACGCATGTGACCGAGTTTCCCGGTCCGGCGCCGACGAGGGTGAGGCCGCCGGAGCAGGTGATGGTGACGGCGTCGCCAAATGGCACGGCAGTGGTCGAGGTGATGGGCGAGACCGAGACCGAGGCGTCCGTGACTGGAGGATAAGGATGACATACGTGGTAGTAGGTGAGGTTGAGCGAGCTCGGCGTGGCGTTGGCCGAGTACTTGCGCTGTGGCTTGCAGCCGATGCAGTCGAGCGAGAGCAGGACGACGAGCGACGTGGTAGAGCTGGTACTGGTGATGGCGTCCTGGGCCACAACGTCGAGTGGGATCTCAAACGGGTTCAACTGCGATGTTGCCGGCCAGGACTGGATCGGGCCGACGCGTGGGACGGCGTCAAGGCCGTACGAATCAGACCAGGGGGCGAGGAAAGGGCGGTGCCGACCGCCGGATCGTCGTATTGGTACGCCTGCAGATGCCAGACCGCCGACGAGGCGGCATCGGCTTTCTTGAGGCGGGCGAGCGTGATCTTGGTATCTGTCGGAACCATAAACACACTGCCATTGGTGGGGAGCGAGAGAGATCCCAGAGGGAGACGGAGAGCAATGACATGGTCGCGCATAGAGATGGTGCCGGGAATTTCGATGGAATTTCCAGAACTGGTCTCCATGGCGCGGACATCGACTGCGGGGTCCAGCGGCTCGTCAAGGAGGAGCAGCGTGGCGGCATGACATGTGTGTGCATACAGCACGAGCACAAGCATGGCAGCCGCGACATTGGCCTTGGTTCCGTGGCGTGAGGGATGAGAGCGGGGAGGGATCATGACGGGCGAGTTTGGGGAACAATGAAAATATTTCTCACGCGGCGTCGGCACGCGTGCGGACTGAGGCCACGGAGCGACAAAGGGCAATAGTGGAGGATATACAGGGTTCCCGGTAATAGGCTTGGACTCGGACGGTAGGTAAACGCTTGTATAATGCTATGCAGGGAGTAACGGGACCGGGGACTTTCTGTGGATAGACGATAGAGGCCGTGGAACAAAGGGGAAGACCAAGTCGGTGGCACGTGCGGAGAGAGATATGCGGGGCCTACTACCGCAGTCCCGCAGCATCGAATACAGACAGTGGAGAAGGAGAGGACTACAGGGTCGACGAGGGCCGTTATCGCATTGTGCTTTGGTTGTAGATCGGGCTTGGATTGGGTGCCAGACCGGAGCTCGGCCTCCTGGACAGAAGCCGTGGCTTGGCGGGCTTCCGGCCGGGGTTCTGGCCCGAGGCTGGCTCGACGAGTGAACGCATGCAATGGCAGACCAGGACAAGGAATTTGACTTTGAGCATGGTGCGATGGGGCGGATTGATAGGCCCCATGTTGGGAGCCCGCACATATGCCCAGGAGCATGCTCCAGGCTCTCGAGTACTCTGGTCTCAAGACCAAGCAAGGACGCTGATGGTTCGCGGCCGGTGGCCCGGTGCCACGCAGCACTCGTTGGGCCGGCCAACCACCAACCAACCCACAGGCCACCGGTCGCCACTCGCCACTCACCGACACCAGTTGCCACCACTCGTCACCAGCCAGCACATCATGTCGACCTGCACGTATGCAACCACGGGGGCAAACTTCAAGTACCAGGTACGAGACCTTCCCCACCCACCCATCCTCTCCACACATGTCCATGCCAATAGCTCTACCGCCCCCCAACCCCCCCCCCCCCCCCCACCCCCCACCCCCCCCTCTCGTAACCGGCCCCTTCCCTCTGTCTACCTCTGCCCAGCTCTGTCTTTCTTTCCATTGGTTTTTCTTCCGTTCCCCCCGCGACTTTCCACCTCCTCCCACCAAC